AAAAAAAAAAAAAAAAAAAAAAAAAAAAAAAAGTATAGGCATTAAGAAAAACCTGTGTACGAATAACCTAGAAATTTTAAGTCATAACCTTAAAATGGCTGCTATACAAGGTGGTCATGTTAAACTGTGTTGGAGTGTGACAAAAACAAAACAACAATAAAAAGAAACTTGTTTTGGCTTAGTGTGTACACTTGTACATATGTATAATCCCAGCACTTTGGGAGGCTGAGTGAGGCAGGAGGATCCCAAGTTTGAACCTGGGCAACATAGTGTCTTAGTGAAATGCTGACTAAAAAATAAAATGGGCTGGGATATAGCTCAGTGTGAAGACCCTGGGTTCAGTCCCCAGTACCACAAATAAGAAAAGAAAAAATTTTTAAATGATATGTAAATATAAAATTTGCTGTTTTACTTTTGAATTCAGATAATAGGATTTAGAAAGCTACAAAATAAATGAGATAGTAATCTAAGTATAATAGGAGACATGAAATAGTTATATTTTTATAGCTGCAAGATTTGTTATTAATTGCCTTATAAATAGAGTGACTTTAGTTTCTTTCTAACAAGATTCTTCTTTTGAGAATGAAGAGAGGCACTATTAATAATGAATACTGGGACAATAGGAATAAACAGGACTGTCCTGGAGAATGAGAACCTTCATATATAGGTGACACAAATCAAGTAATTCCTCTGCTTGCAATGTAAATTTTTTTTAGCAAAGTCTAAATTTAAATGGTTTATTTTTACTTTTTAATATATGCATTATTTGTACGACAAAATGTAAGTTCTGATCATATTGATATTTGTAGAATTATTTTAATTTTAGAAAATCTCAACTTTTAAGTATTCTTGCTACATTTTTCCTAATCACATCAGTCAAATAACTGAATGTAGAAAAGTAAATTCTTAGTCATAAGCAGTGGTATAGCAAGTACTTTCATATTTTATTTTTCTTTATTATTTTAGGTATTGTAATTATTCCTATCTTTTTTTCCCCCTTCCAGACAAATTATGAAAACAGAATATATAGCCTGAAAGTAGAATGTGGACCTAAATACCCAGAAGCTCCTCCTTCAGTTAGATTTGTAACAAAAATTAATATGAATGGAATAAATAATTCCAGTGGAATGGTAAGTTAGTCATTTTATTGTTATATATTATAGTCCAGAGAAAGTTTTTAAAAGCTTTTGTTCAGCTGAAAGTCTGAAGTTTGTTTTATGTTGTTCTCTATAAATTAGCCTATCCTTTAAACCTTTAATGTACCTCCTAGGAGGCTAAGAAGGTGATACTTTTCTTAGGGTTTTAGTCATTGCATCAATAGTCATATTTCTCTTGAATTCTTATTTGGTGAAAAGATGACCATTATTTCTTGCTCTCATTTTATTTTTTTGTTATTTGGGATGAGGTTTTACTCTATAGTTCAGGCTGGCCCTGAACTCATGGGGATTCTCCTGCCTTAGCCTCTTGAATGCTGGGATACAGGTGTGTACCACCGTGCCTTGCTCCATTATTTCTCTCCTTTTTTTTTTTTGATACTGGGGATTGAACTCGGAACCTTGAGCTTGCAAGGCAGGCAGCGGTGCCACTGAGCTAAATCCCTGGCCCTATCCATTATTTCTCTTTAAATGTTACTTTTCTTTAGGAGTAATGTACATTTGTGAGATTAAAAGGATAAATATTAGGAAGGGCTTGTTTGTTTGAGGAACAAGTGTGTCATGACAGCATGTGTTATGGTTTATGTCTGAATGTCCCCCTAAAGCCTCATGTGGTCATAAGCTTGATTTAGAGTGTGAAGCTGGAATTGACTTATGTTGCAATGCTAGGCTCAGGGGCACTAGGATTAAGGGTATGTGATTACTAAATCAGTCTACTGATTGGTCTGGCACTGGTCTAATTCCAGTAGTATAAAAGGGGCAGTTGTTAAGGTCCTTTCCTTGTTGCCTTTGCTACCTTGTGCGTGCCATGTTTCTCCTCTGAGATGCCTTTTGCCATCTCTGTCTTGGAGCCAGCCAACAATGGACTGAAATCTTTATGAACTGTGTGCTAAATAAACCCTTTCCCCCTTTACTTCGGGTGTCAGGTATTTTGTCTTGGCACCAAGAGAAAAGTAACACAGCATGGTCGTCTCTTTAAAGCAAGTAAACTAGAAGGTTTATTTATGTGTACCTGACTCAGGTAAGTTAGTAGAAATAGCTGAATTTCCAATATGAGTAGATCGTGAGGTTCATGTTAAGACTTTGAAGCCCAGGCTGTCTCTGTGCCATGTTGAGAGTACACTCAAATGCAGAGTACATGTTAGAATCATCTTCCTAAGATAAACATCATCTGTCTTAGGAAAGTAAGATGTCAGTGTCCTTGGTTTCTTGTGTGTTCCTGTTCATCCTATCCCCACCAGTCATCCCACCATTGTATTCCATACCACTAATGTAAATGTTACTTTCTCAGAAGTGTTTTTCAATTCCTTAATTTGAATTACTTCCCTTGTGTTACTCTGTTGTAGTCTGTCATCCTGTCACTCTGTTTTGGTGGTCCTGGGATCAAATTTTTTGTGTATCTTTAAAAGAAACATTTCTGACATGGAGACAAGTTTTATAAAATGATACAACCAGCCTGTTTATTTTCCACCTAGCTTTGTCAGATCTTAACAATTGTCTTGTAACACTTTTTTTTTTTTTTTTTTTTGAGATGAGGTCTTGCTGTGTAATTCAGGCTGGCCTTGAGTAACTCATGGTCCTCCTGCCTCAGTCTCCCAAGTGCTAGGATTACAGGCATGTGCTGTCGTACCCAGCTGTTAATAACATATCTTTTAATACAGAGTACATTGTAAATAACGGTTAAGAATGTGGCTTTCTCCTGTTTCTCCATCTTTCTGCAAAGGTAGTGCCATCTGGATTTGTTGTTTACATCATTGTGATCACACTATAAACTCACATGTATGCTTCTGTATTGTATCACTTTTTAAATCTTATGCTTGCCAGCGATTGTCAGGATCATCTGTGTTAGACTGTGCAAATTAGTTTACCTAAATTGTAGTCCGTAAGCATCAGTGGTGGGTGTTGGCTTTAGTAATTTTGGTTTATATTTGTTTAATTTAACTAGAATCATAAAGCATACATTAGAGTGCATTATGCTGTGATAGCTCAAGATTTGGAGATTATTGTTTATTGCAGACTGATAAGATAAAGATTTTGTACTGGCATCATATTTATTTCTCTTGCTCCCCTCCCTTCCCTGACCCCCTTTGAACTCTTGGTATTTCACAAGGTTTGCAATCACTTATGTTTATGTAACTGCCATTTACACCTGGAAGTGTTTGTTTCTGCTTTGGAAGTAGCCTGGTGTTCTCTACAATGATTTTATAAATTGTTCATTTATGGACTCTTTAAAATAGGTTAAGGGAGTTATTATTCTTTTATGTTAAAGCATTAGAGGAAGTTTTAAAAATACATTTTAACTTCATAATATAATAGTTTTCTTATTTTATTAAGTATTACTCAAATGATTTTCTCTACATTTAAGTGGTTTTATTGTGATATTCACATACTGTATGATTCACCCATTTAAAGTGTACAATTGAATGTTTTTAATATTTAAAGGATTGTGGGTTCATTACTATATTCCAGTTTTAGAATATTTAGAATATAGATCATAAAATCTATACCTGTTACTTGCCACACCTTCATCCTAAACAGTCACAAATTAGCTATGTTTACACATTTACCTATTCTGGACATTTTATATGATTGAAATAATATGTGTTCTTTTGTGGATTAACAATATTTTCAAGATTCATTTGTAGCATGTGTCAGTACTTTATTCTTTTTTATTATTGCTGAATAATACTCCATTTTATAGATGTATTACATTTGATTTATCTACTCATCATCAGTTGCTGAGTATTTGTATTTTTCCACTTTGTTTTTCCTCATTGAGTTTATTGGTACATTGTAGGTATACAGTACAGTTACATTCATCATTGGGATCTTATGCCTTTACATGACAGGTCTTGGTTCTCATTTTTTCCCCTTATCCCTGCCCTTCCTTCACCCCCTCTTCCCTTCCCTATTTATAAATACTTTATTTCAATTTTTTCATTTTCTCATGTTTTTTTTCTTTTCCCTTATTACCTTTACCCTTCCCACTTCCCCTACACCTTATGTATTTTTCCACTTTTAGCTGTCCTGAACAGTGCTACATTTATAGCTATAATAGATGGCTCTTGAGACCACACTCCTAAGTGAAATAAATCAGATACACATGTTTACATACTGCATTGTTTCTCTGGTGTGAGAAACTGAAAAGGGAAATAATGTGTAATGGATGTTGGGAAATGGGAAGAAAGTGTTCAAATGGAAAGCTGAGCAACGGAGGAGGAGGATATGAAGGAAGGGACAAGAAAAAAAGTAAAGATAGAAGGAAAAAATGGAAACCAATGTTTTTGTACATAGGGAGAGGAGGGGACTTGTGGGGAATGGGATAAAACACAATAAAAATTAAAAAAAAATGCTTCTGTGAATATGTACAAATGTTTGTATGGGCATCTATTTTCCTTTTATTGGGGTATGTTCCTAGGCACCAAATTGCTGGGTCAAATGGTAACTATTTTTGAGCAACTGTCACACTGTTTTCCAAAGCAGCTGAACTATCTTATATCACTTCCAGCAGTGTGTGAAAATTCCAACTTCTCCACATTCTTTTTTGTTTTGTTTTCTTTTGTTTATTTGTTTTTTGAGACAGACTCTCACTGAGTAGTCCAGATTGGCCTTGAATTCACTATGTAGCCCAGGCTGATCTTGAACTCTTGGTGAGCCTCCTGCCTCTCAGCCCCTTGATGCTGGGATAATAGGCATGTGTCACCACCATATCCGGCTTACACTCCCTGCTGCCCCCCACCCCTTGGTACCAGGAATTGAATTTAGGACCTTGCACTTGCAAGGCAGGCGCTGTCCCTGGCTCTGCTGCATATCCCCCCCCCATTCTTATAACATTTATTCATGTCTGTTTTTTTGCTTGTTTTGTTTTTACGGTATTAGGAATTCAAAACCCCAGGGATACCTAATCACTGAGCTACATGTGAAGCCCTTTGTATTTTTTCTTTTGAGATAGGATCTTACCGACTTGCCCAGGTAGACTTGAACTTGGCAATTCTGCCTCAGTTTTCCATAGTGCTGGGATTACAGGTGTGCACAGCTGTACCCAGCTTGTCTTATTTTATTATAGCTAGTCTAGTGTTTTATTATAGCTCTTTTGGTGGGTGTGAAGTGGTAGTTTGTTTAATTTGTAATTCGTTTTTAGCTAATGATGTTTATTTTCTTGTATGCTTCTTGGCTGTTTATTATGTGTTGGTTATTTATGTCTTCTTTGGAGAAAGTCTGTTCTGATACTTTGCTCACTGTGCGTGTGCTTGTGTGTGTGTGTGTGTGTGTGTTACTTGGGACTGAACCCAGGGACTTTGCACTGAGCTACATCCCCCAGCCCTTCTTTATTTTTCTTTTGTTTAGTTTTTTTTTTTTTTGGTAGAGGGGATCGAACTTAGGACTTTGCAATTGCGAGGCAGGAGTGGTGCCACTGAACTAAGTCCCCAGCCCTGTTTATTTTTAAATGTTGAAATAGGGTTTCACTAAGTTGTCCATGCTCAGTTGGACTTGAACTTGTCATCCTCCTGCCTCAGCCTCCCAGAATGCTGTGATTAAAGATGTGCACCACTTCACCTGGCTCTTGGCTCGCTTCTTAAAAGCAATTTAAAAGAAAAATTTATTATCTCAGTTTTTGTGGGTCAGGAATGTGAGTGCAGCTCCTATGGCTCAGGATCTCTCACTAGGCTGTAATCAAGAGGTCAGTCGGAGGTGCAGTCTCAGATGAATGCTCAGCTAAGGAAGGATTCTATCCCAAGCTCACTCATGTGGTTTTTATTAGTATGATATAGTTCCTTGTGGGTCTTTGAACTGAGGGCCTCAGTTTCTTGGAGACTGTTGCCAAGAAACTACTCTCAGCTCATTGCTACCATGTAGGTGTCTTCCTAGGGCATTCCACGACGAGGCACCTGGCTTCCATCTGTGAAGCAACTGAATAAAAGCAAAAAGATGGTAGATGGCAGAGTGTTTATTTTTTTAAAATCAGAATGTGACTTAGAATTGAGAGTGACATCTAAACACTATATTCATCAGAAACAAATCACAAGTGTGCTCATGCACACACACACACACAAATCACATAATAATAATGAGGGTAGGAAGTAACTTTTGGAGCTGGTGGAAAGGGTTATGACATAGATTGTGGGGATGGTTCCATGGGTATACAGTTATTTCCAAACTTATCAAGTAGTATAAATTATGTATAGCTTTTTGCATATAAAAATTATTTTAAAAAGAAACAAAACTTGAATAAGTTAGTCTGGTCATACTCAAAGGAAGGGAGTACTGGGAGTTGGTGGTAAATAGTCTGCCTTTACCCACACTTTAATTGAATTGTCGGCCTTTTATTAATTTAGTTGTAAGAGTTCTTAATATACTGGACAAAAGCCCCTTATCAGTCATGTGATTTATAAGCATTTTGTTTTGTGGGTTATTGTCTTCTCTCTTCCCTCCCTCCCTTCTTCTCTTTTTTCTTGTCCTTTCTACTAGGGACTGAACCCAGTGCCTCCTGCATGCTCAGTAAGTGCTCTACCACTGAACTGTTATCTCCAGCCTTTTTTATTTTTAATTTTGAAACAGGATCTTACTGAGTTGCCCAGGTGGGTCTTGAATTTGCAGTCCTTTTGACTCAACCTCTCAGGTAGCTAGAACTGTATATGTGTAACACCATACCTAGCTTCTTTTATTTTCTTGATGTATGGTTTGTCTTGCAAAAGTTTTTAATGTAGTTTGCTTTGAAATGGGTCTTACAGTGCTGCCTATGCTGGGTCTTGAACTCCTGGGCTCAAGTGATTCTTTTACCATTTCCTCCATACTAGCAGGGATTACAGCTGTGTGCACCTATAGTTGACCCCAAATTTTTAATTTTGATGTAGCCTATGTACCACTTTTTCTTCTATCAAATGTGCTTTGGGTATTGCATCTAAAAAGCCATCATCACCTCCAGTGTCATTAGTGTTTACTCCTATATTTTCTTCTGAGATTTTATAATTTTAGCTGTTAATTAGGCTTATGATCTGCTTTGAGTTAATTTTTTTGTGACTGGTGTGGGTTACAGATCTAGCTTTATTGCTTTGCTTGTGTAGGTATCCAGTTGTTCCAGTACTCCTTATTGAAAAGATTATTGTAATTCCATGGAATTTTGTGGGTATCCTTATTGAAACTCAACCATGAATGTAAGGAGCTATTTTGGGGCTCTCAGTTGTCTTCCATTTATCTATATGTCCTTATGCAAACACCACTATAGTTTTATAGTATGTTTTCAGTCAGAATTTCTTTTTCACATTTTAGTATCAGCTTGTATGTTTCCACAAGAAAGAGGTCAGATGAAATTTTGAAAGGGATATTACTTAATCTGTAGATAATTTTGAGGGATGCTGTCATCTTAGAGGTATTAATTTAAGTCTTCTGATCTATTTACAATTACTTAGTTTTTTTTTTTTTGGTACTGGAGATCAAACTCGGGCCCTTGCGTTTGTGAGGCAGGCGGAGGAACCACTAAGCCAAATCCCCAGCCCTTAGATTTTTTTATTACTGTCAGCATTTTATAATTTTTAGTGTACAAGCCTAACAGTTTTAAATTTTTATTAAATATACATGTATATCATTCTTTTTGATCCTGTTTTGACATTGTTTGCTTAAATTATATTTTCTGATTTTTCATTACAAGGGTACAGAAATACAACTATTTTTTTTGTATATGGATCCTGTATCCTGCAACTCTGCTGAGCTTGTTTATTAACTCTTATAGGTTCTTTAGTGGCTTCTTTAGAATTGTCTGTATACAAAATCATTGCATATGTAAACAGAAATAGTTATACTTTTTTTTGCAGTCTGGGCAGTTATCTCTTAATTTCATTTTCTTGAGTAATTGTCCTAGCTAGAACCTCTAGTACATTGTTAGGTAGAAATAGTAAATACAGGTATCCATGTCTTTGTTTCTGATCTTAGGAGCAAAGCATTCAGTTTTTCACCATTCAGGATGATGCTAACTATATTTGTTTTATAGATGCAGTTCCTTTTTTTATCTTGGTACTAGGAATTGAACTCTGGACTTTGCCCTTGCCAGGCAGTTGAGGCACCACTGAGCCACACCCCTGGCCCTGAAGCAGTTCTTTCTATTCCTAATTTTTTTTTGAGGTTTTCTGTTTATTTATTTTTTATTTTTTTATTTTTTTTTGTCTTTTGGCTTTTGAGACAATCACTTTGGTAGTGTGCAGGCTGGCCTTGAGCTTACAGTGTTCTGCCTGCCTCAGTCTCACAGGTACTAGGATTATAGGCATGTGCCACCTCACCTGACTTTCAGGTCCTTTTTAAGCCAGTGCACAGCCTTATATTTAATGAGTGATTGTCTAAGTTCCAAAGCATGTGTCCATGCCTCTGTATGACATCTCATTTTCCAGCTTTTTCTTAATTATTTTGATCACTTTCCTGTTTGCTCTGTTACAAACACCCAGGTTGGGTGAGAGGGTGTGGGACCATAGACACGTCCCACTGAATGAGCTCTGAGGTTGGCTAGAAAAAAGCTCTGTAATTGGGGCTTTCAACCACAGGACAGTTTGGGTGCTGCAAGTTACTGGGAATGGATCAGCCTCATTCTGTCTTTCAAAGTGGAAAATTAATTTAGAGTAGTGCATACAATACATTGGAAAGAAAAATCTAGCAGCAGAGACCAGGTTAACAGTTCTTATCTAAATTTCAGTTTGAAATAATTATTCAGATTTTGGTTAATGGCATTGAAATTAGAGAACTTTCTGACTTTATATCAAGAAAGAATTGGTAAATATGTTCATAAAGTATTTTTTTAATGTAAAATGTATGTCCAAAACCAAAATTCATTGCATGTTTATTGTAAAATATAGAAAAGTGCACACATAAAATCCAGACTTTTAGAAAATTCCCGTTACAGATTTTTTTTTTTTGGTGGTTATCAGGGATCAAACTCAGGATCTTGCACTTGCAAGGCAGGCACGGGGCCCCTGAGCTAAATTCCCAACTCTGTTATAGATTTTCTAAATATTATTCAAATTCTGAATCTGAAATTTTATACTTTTTGAATCTGTAATTTCATAGTGTGCCATTCTTATTTAAGTATATTTAAAAATTGATGTTACAAGCAAGGCGTGGTGGTGCACACCTGTAATCCCAGCACTCAGGAAGCTGAGGCAGGAGTATCTCTGTGAGGTTGAGACCAGCCTGGGCTACATAATGAGTTCCAGGTCAGTCCTAACTACATAGTGAGACCCTGTCTCAAAAAAAAACCTTAAAAAAAAAAAATCGATGTTACAGTACTTTAAATTTAGAAGTTAATTATATTCCTTTCTTTCGCTTTCAGGTGGATGCACGCAGCATACCAGTGTTAGCAAAATGGCAAAACTCATATAGCATTAAAGTTGTACTTCAAGAGCTAAGACGTCTAATGATGTCCAAAGAAAATATGAAGCTTCCACAACCACCAGAAGGACAAACATACAACAATTAGTTTTAGTGGATCTCAAACTTGTCTTAAATCAACAACCTTCTACTCATATTAATGTCTTGATTAAATATCACAATGCAAAATACCCACACATTAAGTAAAAGAATTCCAGCTGGTAAACGTGACCTGGACATTTGTAAGAATATATTTAATATATGTACACCCATTATATTTTCAGGTAACAGGAGGAAAAATGCGGCACAATTTTTCTTTCTCTTGTTAAGGCACTGTCATTTAAACATGAACCTGGAGTACTCCAAATAGAATTCAGGTTTACAAGATGAAAGCATGGCAAGAATTGTCAGATGTCAGTGGAACGTGTTTCTGAAAAGTAAAATCTCAAGAAGGAAAAACAGAAATGGCATGCTTATCCATCTTGCTTAGTGAGAGCTACAGTTTGAAATTGTTTAAAGTAGCAGGTACAATGAATATTGTCACAAATTGTGTTAATTTTTGAAGCAGTGTGGGTGCTGACTACTAGTAGTATCAAAAATACGTTCAGGATTGTTTTGATACCTGTATTTATAATAAAAAAATGTTTGGGGGGGTTGATGAATTTCTGTCAAAAGCTGTTCCTGTGTGTTACATGTAACAGACATGGTAAATATTTGTTTACAGTCTTTGTTAAATAATCCATGCATTTAAGTTTAGGTGAAGTCAACAAAAGGAAATAGGTGTATGGATATGTGATTTTGAGATTAGTCTTAAAATGTAAATAAAATGTGGAACGTGTCCTCAGAGACTGTGCCATTTCTATTATATTGATGTAGTATATGTACAGTACCTTGCCAAGGTAGCAAAAATTGGAATTATTGATTATAGCTTTTCATTGATATACCACATATATTATTTATCCTATTTTGTATACAGTACTTGTGAATTGGAATTTGCAGAGTATTAACAAATTATATAATTAGTTTAGTTTCTTCTTTGGAGAAGGAGGAATCCCAGGTATTATATTTGAATTTGATTTCACCAGATATATTACAAAGATTTTTCAATTCTAGCCATTCTTATAGAATTACAGATTGCATATAATTCAATTGTACATTCCTTTTTTTCCTTAACTTTATTTTTCTGTGGAGCTTTTGGTTAATAGATTGAACTAATGGAGACATTTTCTTCTCAGTTAATGATTTCAACATTTTTATCCAAGCTTCATTCTAACAAATATGTAATTCTAAAGATGGAGATACATTTATGTTCTACTTTTATCAAAGTGGCACAAGGCTTTAGGCCACTGTTTTTACTTCAAAGCACTGGGTGCACTGCTATGTTGAAAATGTTTCCTTATGAATTTATTGAAGAATATCAAAACGTAGTCTGATAAAAATCTTTCATTTTGGCCAACTTGTCTTAACCTTCACCCCAGAATATATAGAAAACAAAAATCATGATTGTCAAAATATTAAATGAGATATTCTAACTTTGTTTATAAAGGAAAAATAGTTGACTTTGTATTCTTTTGAAAATATTAAAATATTTTAGTTACCTAAACCTAACCCATAGTATAAGGACAGATTTCTCAGACATACCCTGACATTTTTATCAAGCTCAAAACTAAAGCCTTGAGCTACCTTTTCTTAGTCAATAGTATATTAAAGTCAGTGACAGTTTGTCTAACCTTATCAATTTCAACATGGTTAGTCTATTAAAGATGTCATATACTTTAAAATGACACAGAACATACGCATAAAGTTCATACATGTATAACATTAAAGTAGATTTGCAGTGTAACCTAGAATTTGAAACCTTGGAATGTAGTCTTAAACTTTTTAATGGTTAAAGGAGATTAAATTGAGTTACACTGACCTGTATGAAGTCCGATGGTAACTGATGGTCTGAATCATTCTCTAATAACTTCTTTTTCACTTTGAAAACATACACGGAAGCTAGTAACTATTGAGATACTGTTGGCAGCCTGATGATGTAGTACCTTGATCCTATGACTTCTTTTCTTTCCTCATCTGTACAGCTGTGGAAGTGTTTCTTCTAAGTATGCGTTGGCAGAGTCAGATCTATAATGTTCATTCCCCCTCCTTTGTTTTTGGGATTATGAATCTTCACAGAAATCTGCATGCAAGTTAACCATTTTCCAAAGCAGAATCCATGTTTGCATGTAACAATCAAAATGTACATGGCAATCTAAGACACACTGATTGATATAAGAGTAAACATAGAGCTGCTCTAAATTATAGTAACATTTCTTAGGACTTTTGAAGCAATTTTCCCTTTGTTTTGTAAAGTGGCTGAGGTTGTAGGAGTGTGTGGTATCTATTACCTTTCAAATGAATTGTAAAATTGCCTTAGAAATTTGTTTAAAAGGCCAAGACCTTTTAAACCCTGAGGATGATCATATATTAATAAAAATGATGAAAATAAAGTTCTTGTCATATTAGGTCAGTGTTATGCTTTAATGGTTTTAATGAATAACTTTCAGAATCGATTTAAAAATATTTTTCTTTTTTCTGGCATTTTCAACAGCTTATGGTAGGAGTTTATGTGTAACTCTCCAGAATTTTGGAACAAAAACATTTGGAAGAATAGTCAGTGGTATTTTAAGTCTTTTGGGTATAAAAATACACTTATAATTTTATATTATCCTTTAAGAGAATTTGTTACATTTAAATTTTAAGTACTTGCAGTGTGGAGTACTTTGGCCCACCCATGGTTTATTAGTCTTGGTCACTTAATACCTGTAAATTGAGTTTAATATCAGTTGTCACCAAACATGTATTATTAGTAGTAAACATGAAATTAGTGTTACTTTGCAAATTTTGAGAATAGAGCTAGAAGTATTAGTGCTTTTTTTGTTTGTTGTGAGACAAGGTCTCACTGAGCAGGTGGATATCTTATCAAGTTCATGCTGCAAATACTGATTATTTGAAAAATACCATGGAGTGTTGAAAATATACAAAGTTTTTCTGAAGAGAGAACTAATGAAAGCATTTGATACAGAAGCTAAGTGGCAAGATAAACCCATCATTTTGTGAAATAAGAGTTTTAAGAACTTGGAATGAGTTACATGATTTAAAAACATTGGATACAAAGGGTGGTTGTATTTATCCTTAGGATGTTGTCATCTAAAATTTTTTTCTAAGGGTCTGCTCTGTCATATTTTTACATGTAATCTAGAGACCAACTCAGATTTTTTTCTGTTAGTTTATGAATGAAGTTAACAATAGAAGCCAAGTAGATCTCACTTTCTTAGTTTGAAAAGACTCCAGGAGTCATCCTTTCTCTAGTGATTAAGTGGCCAAATGCCATGGAAGAATTATACAGTGGTCCATTTGCTGCCAAATGTAAACTTTTGTGAATTTATTTGTCCTTGTTCAGTACTTGAGCAGCTACTTTAGACATTTGGTGTTCAAGGTTATGCAGAAGCAATATTCTGCTTCCATAAGAGGGCAAGTAGTTGGCACTAGACCAGTAGTAATACATCTCTGGTAACTTAAAGAGCAAAAACTTTCAGTTGCTTGTTCAGTGCAGGAGTAGAGTAATTAAAAAAACTTGTTCAGAGATTACAAGGAATCATTTTTTTGTTGCTTTTTATGATACTGGGGAATTGAACCCACAAGCTTCACACTGAGCTATAATCCCCAATCTTTTTATTGTGAGACAGTCTTGCTAAATTGCCGAGGATAGGCTGGAACTTCAGATCCTCCTGCTTTGGCCTCCCAGAGTGGTAGGACTACAAATGTGCATCACCATGCCCAACCTGGTGAAAAAAGTTGAGGTCACAAGAAGATAATTGCCTGGGTTTCTTAATCTATATTGGCATATGGATCCTTTTATGAAACAAAGGAGGTTGGGGATTAGCTCAGTGGTAGAGTACTTAATATAGTCAAGGCCTTGGGTTTGATCAGCACTGGAAAAAAAAAATGCAGTTCAGCATTATCTTGAATTATGTTTGTTAAACCCCTTAATGCATAAAACCATATTAATGCAAGAATTGTGCACATTTATGTAGTACTTTTAAAATTATTAAAGTCAGTAATTGATATTTAAAATATCGAGCATGTTAGTTACATTTCTGCTTGAAGTGTAAATACTGGCATCATCTTGTGGTGTCTTTTAGTTTGCTGTGTCTACTACCGTGTGCTACTGGACCTCTCAGAATTTTTCTTGCCAAACTGTTGTTACTTGACCTTCACTATACGCAGTTATGTATTAAGTCCACCTTTAATTTTTTTTTTAAATTAGAGGCAATTCTTTCAGAAAACTAATCTCTTGAGACGATTCCACTTTGAGACCACAATGGATTATGCAGAATTACAGTAATATATTTGCTCAAGTCATGGCCTTCTATATATTAATACCATTTAAAACTCAGTTGATATAGTTATTGAGAAATGACATGATTTTCCAGCATAGTGGTCGAGTGCTAAATACATGTATATGTTTAGATAATAAATTAACAGCATCGTGCATCCCACAAGCTTGTGATGGCTGTGCTATCATTTTTTCCTTAACCTGTGGTCTCTGCATTTCCCTTGTAATCAGTGTAGTCACCTCTCTCATACGACCCTCCTGTTCTTGTTAGGGCTTCCTTTAAACTTAGGCTCTTCCTCACCAGCCTTGGAATAAACACTATGCATTTGAAGATTACTTTTAAAAGGTAGATTCGCCTGTGAATAATTTTCTATGCAAAAGCTTAATTCTAGTCCCATTACTCTGACCACTCAACCTTCCCCCATGCTGTCTCCAACTTCTACTAATACTTAGTCCTGTTTTTCTTTCAGCCTGCCTTCCCTTCTAGCTTTTTTTTTTTGGTTTGTTTTGAGACAGGGTCTCGCTGTTAAGGCTTGCCTTAAACTCAGTATGTAGCTTGAACTCACTGTGATCCTCCTGCCTCAGCCTCCCAAGGGCTGGAAATACAGGCTGTGTGCTACCACACTCAGCCCCTTCTAGCCTCTACCATTTTGATCAGCAGATGTTTTTCTTAGCGAGTCACCTTGGTTTATCTTGGTTGGAGTTTTTGGTTTTATTTACTTCTGAGTTCATGTCCAAGCAGTCAACTATGGTGGCAGTGGCTATAGTAATGAAGTTGTAAAATTACAGTTTTAAATATTTAATTATATCCTTTGAGTTAAAAAATGTCAAATATTTTTTGAAACTAAAAATGAGCCAAAATTAGACTTTCATCTGAGATTGAATTCTTTAGTGCCATAATAAAATATAAAATTCAACATTTTAAAATTCACATCTATTTTCTTGTAATAGCTTTGTAGTTTTACCTCACAATTTACTTATTTGTTCTGTTTTGAGAATTATGTGCTGTGTCATGGACAGCTTCCTTATCATGTGAATATTCACATGTCCCGGAAATTGGTCTTGACATGTTTGTCAAATGCCATTTGTTCATATGGAATTATTACAGAAATTACTCTTCTACATGTTATGCCAGTATGACTGTTTTGA